TGGCCTTCCATTTGTCATCTCTAATCAGCTTTCATTCCCGTTCTCCAAAACAATTCTTCAAGCATCTACTACCCTCAAACTCTAGCTTTCTCTGTCCCTTCTTCCCCATCTTCTAACCGCACATTTATCAGAAAAAAATTCCTGTCTTAGAACTCTGGGCCCAGCCTCTCTCTCCAGCTTCCCCCGGTTGCCCTGCACAATCCTGTGGACTCCAGCCCCAACAAACCTCTTGTCAATTCCAAAACAGACGCTGCCTTTTCCCAGCCCCTGATGGACTCACCCCTCTTCCCTGGTTAGAGTGCCCTTCCTCTGAGACTGTCAGGCTCCCGCTCACCCCTCAAGATCCAATTACCTCCTTCCAGACACCTTTATTGATTCCCCCAAAGAGCTGGCCAAGTCCTCTGCTGCACCCCCTCCGCAATCTGTTCATCACAGCATGTCACAATCTGCTCCCCTCATAGCATATCTGCGTCAGTCACGAGGTCCTCATGTTTCTTAAAAGTCAGGATCAGCTTTTATTTTGGGTACCACAGTGTGAGTACCTAGTACCATGTCTGGCAGATTGTGGGCACACCATACCTGCTTGAGGAATAAATGCAATTAGATCTCTTGGCCCCTAATCCAACCGTGATCTCTGTGTGTGGTATGACTTGGTCGTATCCAGAAACATGGGTAGAGATTGTATAACATGGGCTATTGTAATAGTTAGACTCACAGACCCAATGAATGTAGATCTCGACTGAGATCCAAATCAAGGCCTTTATTGTTGGGGTAGCCAGAAAGCCAAATGGCACTTCCAGAATCGGATCCACAGGCACTGGGGAGCGTGGTGTGTAAGTGTGTAATGCAATGACTAATACATGTTCCACTCCAGACCAATTCTTCCATCACTAACCCCTCTTCGTAGGAACTGGGTAGGCAGATGAATAGACACCTGAGGCTAGTTCAACCCTCTGCTACACCGTTCCCTTGAGCTCCACACTTGCCCACACCAGATGGTGATACCTGTAGAAACAGAAGCTGCTGTTCTTTAACTCCCGAGTCTCATACAAGGTGTCTTCCCTCCTCCTCGCTGCTGTTACTGCAGCTGTGATGATATGGGCTCTGGTCCGCATGTGTTTTCCTTCAGCTCCTTTCCTTAGGACATTTATGCTGCAGGAGAGACCAGTCTCCTGGGCCAGGCTGGAAATCCTGCAGCTTCTGTTACTGTTCCACGTCGCACGTTCACATCTGCTGGGTTGATTTTCCCCACCCAGTACTGACCACTCCAGGTTGTGCTGTCTTCTCGGCACCTGCTTCTCAAGGTAGTGTAGTTTGCTGGCTCTGAGTTCTAACTGCAAGAGTAGGTCTTCTGAATTCTATGCTAAGTCACAGATATTGCCATATCCATAATGGCCATTCCTGCTGAATGGTTACCATGCCCATGACCTCCCTCCCTGTCAAGTCTTCGTTGGTCTTGCTGACCATCTCGGTTGTATTTTTTAATTAGATACAATATCTCTGTCTTGTCTCCTGACCGCTAGCGCACTGGTTAAATCTCTGTATGCTCTTGCAAACCTCACTTTTCACTAAACCTCCCATTGCATTATTGTCTACCCCATGATGATAAGATATTGATCTTGAATAAAAAGAACCATCTTTAACATAACAGAGATATAACTTACTTTCAGATCTATACTAACCATGCAAAAAACCTCTTGTCAGCACTTTTAATTTATTTACCTCTTATGTGATTACTGTATGTGACTCACATTTCTTCAGTGTCCTCTGCCCCCAGATACAGATTAGATAGATAGATAGATAGATAGATGATAGATAGATGCTATTGCTCCAATAGTATTATTACTCCTACTGAGAATAATAATAAACATTCTTATAAATTTCAAATAAGGTTTTCACCTGTAAATAGTGTCATAAATCACCACCAAAAATATGGACTTGAGTGAAATGTGCCATGTTCTTAATAATTTGATGCACAAGTTGAATTTGAGTACATTGGAATGCACATGGGATCACAAAGAAATACAGGCACTTATTGTCATCTCGCCCTTAACTGGGCTTCCAAGGTTTGGGACCGTGTGAATGAAATGGAAAGTTTGCCAGTTTACATAACTATAGTTACAGAAATATAGAGAGGGTGGCTATGTCATCAAGGGTTTCAAGCAATGGGTTGTTTTTTAAATAGCTGCTTCTGTTCTTCATTTTGTCACATGCACGCATTTCCATGGCAAAGGGCCAAGTGCATCTAGTGCAATTCAAGGATGACAAGGGGGACTGATGGCCTCTAGTGAGTGGCTGATGAGATGGTAAGAAGCCCAGTTTAGACCTTGCTCAGGGCAGGAGGGCCCTGTCCGTTTGCTGTGTGTGGCTCTTCGAGCTTATTAACAAAATAGGACCGAGAAGCGGAAACAGTTCTTGAACTTTATTATTCTACTTGAAGATAGTGAACCCCAAATTGTGAAGATAAACATAATTCTTGGTTTGAAAACCCATGTGTGTGCATAAATGACTTAGCGTGTGCAGCAGTTCACTTAAACCGTGAGCTGGGGCTTTGGTCTTAAAGTTACCAAACTGATGGGGGAGGAATGGATTAAAAAATGCATTGTGCTGTGTTATTATCGCAAAGACTGATTATTATGCAAAAGTGTGTTCCAATTTCAATGTTAAAAACTACTAATTTGTTCTCAACAGCTGTAATTTGAGATCCCACAGGATGACATGTAGGGATACACAGGAAACTTTGGAAGTCTCTTGTCGGTTTGGTGACTTGACTCACCAAGGCTGCCTGGCGGAGATTTCTCCCGTCTGGAGCTGTAATATGGTCGCAGCCACTGAGTAATTCCTCACAGCTGGGGTGTCACGATACACGGACCACAACAAGGACCTGAAAATGTACTAGAGAGATCATAGGATATCTTTTAAATAATTTTCACTTTGGTTGAATTTTTTTTTAAGGTTTAAAGGGTTGGGAAGGAGAAAGAGAGGGAGAGAAACATCAATGTGTGGTTACCTGTTGTGCACTCCATACTGGGGACCTGGCCTGTAATCCAGGCATGTGCCCTGGCTGGGAATCAAACCAGCAACCCTTTCGTTCACTGGCAGGTGCTCAGTCCCCTGAGCCACACCAGCCAGGGCTTGGTTGGATTTTTATGTAGCAAAATAGAGAAGAGTTAGAAGAGTATGTGAACAATGGGCAGGTGGCATCAGTTATGTAGTACGAACATCTCGTGCTGACTTCCTGAAAGCCATTGAGGTCTTGCTAGCATGCAGCATGTTAAGGTGTGTGAGGTCTACGTTGCATCTGACTGTACATCATTGCACTGCAGTTAAGCAAATGTTTGTTGAGTTCATATCATAAGCCAGGCATTGTGGTAGTGGGGATACAAAGATGATAGCTGTGACATTATGCTAAGCAAAATAAGCCAGGTGGTAAAAGACAAATACCATATGATCTTACCTTTAACAGGAACCTAATCAACAAAACAAACAAACAAGCAAAATATAACCAAAGACACTAAAATTGAGAACAGGCTGACAGTGACCGGAGGAGAGAAGGAAGGGAATTTCAGGGGAGAATGGGAAGGGTTTACAGGAACGAGTATAAAGGACACATGGACAAAAACTACGGGGTGTGGAAATGGGAGGGAGATGGGGAGAGCTGGTGGGTGGGCTGGGATAGGGGTAAAAGGCAGAAAACTGTACTTGAACAACAATTAAAATAAAAAATTTTATACTTCCAAAAAACATTACATTATTTAAACCAATAGATTATCATCTTTCTTAGTAATTAATACTTTTTAAAAATCCTTTCATTCTACAGTTATGTACCTATGACATAGTAGGATACTATCTTGCTTTTTTGGATATAAATGTACACACTGTCCACTGATTTTTATTGAATACGGTAGTCCAGCACAAGAAATTCTAATGAACATTTTTAATGCATTTATTTTTTCTGCATTTCCTCCACAGCACTCCCCTCCTCACCCCAGCTATCCCCCACTCCCTCCCCTGATCCCACCCCCCTTTGTTTTGTCCAAGTGTCCCTGATAGATGTCCTGAAAACCCTTGCCCTTCCCCGCCCCCCATTATCGCCTCCCATCTCCCCTTCAATGTCCATTTTATTCAAATGCATTTCAGGGGCAGTTTATCACGATACATCTATCATGCCAAAAATTCTGGCTTACATTTTCTCTTTCTGCTTCTAAGTTTTCGTTTGTCTTGTTGATGTCTCTTTCATCTAAATCTACACCTTGTTAGCCATTAGTGGGGGTATAATCATGTTCCCATTTGAGAATCTCTTAAAGGACAGCTTCCCTCCAGAAAAATGCACACACTCACTCACATAAACACTAAATAGAATGTGCATTTTCCTGAGGATTGATCAACTGGAGAAATGGTACATTAAATACCGTGACTAAGAGTGCACACTTTTCTGAAGACGCAACCTGTGAAATTACAACTTGATTTTGAAATTAAGAGAAGATTTTTCAAGGTATTATGCTCTGGATTAAAGTTGAGTTTCCTACCTAAATTTCTGCTAAATCTGTATTCTGCCACAAAGATGTGGTTGCATTTGCACCACAAAGTGGTGGAAAGTAAATTTTTGGGCCAGGCGTCCGGTAAAGTTAGCATGAATTTAGATCAGAATGTTTGACTCTCCTGAGCGTGACTGCGTGTAAAAGTGGTCTATGACCTGTGTCTGTGTACATGGGGTACACCTTTATTAAGGCTCCAGCTGCCATTGTAATGGGCAAGCTACAATCCTCCAGCGTCGTTTTTAAATGTAGCTGCGTCCCCTCACCCTTCTGGGCCGTCTGATGCTTAGACAAGCTTAGAAAAGTCGATGGCATCAATTTGTCTGGAACATTTCCTGAGCTGAACAGGTGACGCCATACACACACCCCAGTGGTGCCTTTTGCAGTGAGCGAGTGGTTCTCCCAGGTGGCTCCTTCTGGATGTAAATTGATTTTAATGATTTCTTTCTTTCTCCCGGGAAGGACTTGTGTGGGCATCATTCATGCGACACCCTAGGAATGGCAGACGTTGGGACCATATGCTCCCCGGAGCGCAGCTGCGCGGTGATTGAAGACGACGGCCTCCACGCCGCTTTCACTGTGGCTCACGAAATTGGTATGCGGTGCCTTTTCTCTTCCCTCGCCAAATCAAACACTTGTAACAGCTGCAACAGGAACTGAAATACTCAGCAATTAATTCCAGATTTCTCCTGGTTTGGATGTACCCTTGGGGATCCGGTGTGTTTATATTTGCACTTTTAGGGTTAACTAATAGGGGAGAGGGAAAGGCAGAGTCAGGCACACAGTTAAGTGCTTCCCGTCTGACAGTGTCATTTAAAAGCGGAAGAGAAATTTGCTACTGCTACTGTCTTTTAAGCATCCTTAAGAGACTCTTAGGAGAAATTTGTCACAGCGGACTATGGATCGCAGAGATGTTCCTCTCTGCCATTCCTCAAGACTCTCTTGGCTCCCCCAGGGCTAAGCAGTTTGCACACACATTTCCATGTGTTCTTGCATTGTGAGGATAGTAGTCTGGTCCTGTCAGCGGTAGTTAATACCTGTTTTGTTTTACGTAGCAAAGCAAATGAATCCAAGTTCAACAGTCAACTTGGTTTGGTTTTAAAATCTCACTTAGCTGATTTGTTTGTCATAAGGAACACATCTAAATCCTAAAACCAGAAGTTTAGGACTGAGTTAACTGTTGGAAAAGTAGCCCAGCGATTAGGAATAGGTGACTCCTCCTCACTGACCCAGGCTCCTAGGTACACGTAAGTTTAGTTTAGTACTTAGGACTCTGTGTTAGACTGAGACACGTCTGTGCTCCGTTCTTGCTAAAGTGCCCTCTACCTGTGTCTTATTATTTAAACTCTCCAAGCTTCAGTTTTTATATCGGAAACATATGAATAACAGTGCCTGTTTCATGGAGTTCTTCTCAGGACTGAACTGGGTGGATTATAGATGCCATCTGCTAATTGATAGCCACATAGACATCTGTTTTGCCTTTTAGTTAAACAGTTCATTTACATTTTTAATGTATGTATCACCTTTTAGCATTATCTTTGGCAAGGGCAGAGTATGGTTTGATAATTATTGTAATTTTGCTATATTTTATTAAAGAGATTAATTTTTAAGCTAACACCATAATTTTTAAATAGACATTAAAACTTTTGCCACATTTCTAGTAAACAGAATATTCCACAAGGTGTCAGTTCCTAGCTGCTATGTATTCTTCGGGGAGTTAAACTAACTTCAGATCAAAGATGTAATTGCATGTCAGTGTATTGCAGAGTAAAATAGAGGTCAGTGGTTAAATTTCGATTCTTATGTATAATCATGACTTGAATTTTCTTAACTGACACTCTTCTTATCATCTAAGCAAAAAAAGTATTTGTTACATAAATAACCCCTCAGAAACACCACTGATAATAATTCTACATAACACCACATGAATGAGCATCTTTATTTTAAGGAGCCAAAGATCCATGATGAAATCTCAGCCTTGTCTCCGTATTCCGTGTTTTATGCTAGGCCAGTGATGTAGACTCTCTGAGATTCCTTTCTCCCTTATGAGGCGACTGATAAAGGGTTGTGGCTCTGGGAGGTGCTGGGCTACAAGAGCTGGAAGCATTTTTAACATCCATATGCCATTTGAGCTTCAGGGCTGGGATTATGTCTTCACCTGTCTCTCACTCACGCCTATTAAAGTAACTGATTAAAGCTACAGCCTCATACAGATCCTGACTCAATGTTCACTCCATGTCTACCTGTATTCATGAGTGAGTAAGCAGAAGAAATGTGAGAGCTGCCCAGGAATTGCCAACCATCCAATTCTGCATCGGAACCTAGAAGAGATTAGGCCAAATACGCCAGAGGATTATAATTGGACAGAGACGATTTTAAAAGTACACCAGTCATTAATCACTGCTCTTCAGATGAGAGAGGCCCCATAGGAAAGATTCTCATTCTCCGGGAAGGCAGAGGCTGGTGCTTCTCAGACTGGGTGGAGGGGTGGTGAGGAGCAAGGAGTAGAGCTGAGTGGTGGCATCACCCTTCCATCAGCTTATGAGTCCAATTCTGACCACCCAAAGGAGAGATTACAAACTCCTTAAAGGAAGGGCTGTTTCTTCCTTCAGTCCCGTAGTGACCCCTTTCCACATATGGACAGCGTCTGGGAGTCTTCCCTCTAAGAGAACCTGTGGCATAAATGCATGTTCTCTGGGGCTGCATTGACGCTCAAGCCAACGGGCCTGCAGTGAAGAACCTTCCAGCATCACCTTTCCTTGCCCTCCTGAATTCCTACCCCAAAGGTCTTGGGTCACACGGGCAGCTGCAGCAGTCTGAGAGGCAAGAAGCCAGATATTGATGAGAACAAATGTTTTATTAAAACCAAATATGTACAGTACAAATTTTTCTTAATAGTACAAGAATACTGGACATAGTTTTACAAGACAACAATGTGGGAGAAATGTGGGCTTCTATGTGAAAAATCAAAACTGAATCTTTGACGTATGACTATACCCTTGAGTCCCCTTTAATTTCTTGGTCAGAGCACCTCTGTTTACTTCTTTAGAATTCTCTGTGATTCATTCTCCAATCAAACTCTGCCTACCTAATTTCCTTTTTTTTTTTTGCATTACATACGGCCCATCAAGGGATCTGGCTTTCATTCATTTTCCTAATTGCTTTATTATTCTTCAGTTTCACTTTTTGCCTAAAAATTGTGAACACGTGTTGTAAAGTATGAGCCTTACAAAATTTAGAGACGATAACTTTACAAAATATTTCCTAATCATCTGTATGTGATTACAGTCTTGCTTCTGCACCCAATGTGTTCTTGGGCAATACCACTCCCGGGTCTGTTTCCAGAGCTTTATTTTTAGGTGGTTGCATGAAGTCTTGCGACAGGCTATCAATGCTCCGGATTCTAATTCTACTCCAGCCGTCTCCTGTAATTTCCTCCCTTCCCTTTTACTAGACATATACTGTGTTCCAGGGTTGGAGGTTAAAGATACAGGCTACATGTGGTGATGAAAGTGACCTTGGGAAACCTTGGTTTTGTTGGAGTGTTTTGAATTAACTTGAGTCCGTCTCAAAATGTGCTGTTTGCTTCATGCACACAGACTGTAGATATGTTACTAGGCCCAAAACATAGGCAGTGAAGAAAGTTTCCAGGCTCTTTCTTTTTCTTTTTTAATTTTTATTATTTTTTTTAGAGAGGGAAGGGAGGGAGATAAAGAGAGAGAGAGAGAGAAACATCAATGTGCGGTTGCTGAGGGTCATGGCCTGCAACCCAGGGATGTGCCCTGACTGGGAATCGAACCTGCGACACTTTGGTTCGCAGCCCGAGGTCAATCCACTGAGCTACGCCAGCCAGGGCCCAGGCTCTTTCCATACTTTTTCTTCTTTACTTCTGGAATCTGTGAAGGATACATTTGGTTAAGAATAACACTTCCATTACCCGACCTGAAATGTTTCATAGAGTGCCCCACTGCATCCTCTCTTTATATGTAGTGGTTTAGACCACAAAGTCATTGCACTTGAATCAAAATTTTCTTTGCTATTTTACCTCCTCCATCTGAAAACATTGTGTGTTGAGAAATAAAATATCAGATAATGGAGGCCAACTTGAAGTCCCTTCTGGCACCTTTTCAGTCCATAGCACTAGAGGCAGAGTGAAGTGGGTTAAGTGAACAATTTGGAAAGTGACTCTTTTCATGTCCCGCATGTTAAGTAGGATGCTTCTCTTTTCCTGCTAATTCTTTCTAAGAAAGAGCTAGATTTTGGAGGTACAGACTCAACGGATGCCAACACAGGCTTCTGGAAAATGGATTTTAATGACCTTAGAGTCTCCAGAGACAGTAATTTTTGCCTTCCTCCTTTCTATGTTATGCGCACATAAACATCGGCTAAATTGTCGGGACGTGCATGAAACTGGCTTGAAACTCTCGAGAGCACAGCCCCCATCCCTGTGCCTTGAGTGGAGGCAAGAATGTGGTTACAGCCATTTTACAATCCAAATGTGAACTGTAGAAAGTTTCAAGTGAATGTAAGCTTATATTTTGAGTTTATATTTTTAACCTGTCAAACTTTTATTATTGGCTTGTAATAATAAAGATTCCACCTGCTGCACACATGGTTCTTTAACATAATAATTTTATTGATGTCGGGCCAGCTTCTAATACAGCAGGGGGAACAATCTGATTTCATTTAGACGGGTGAGATCCATGATTTGCAAACTTGCCGACGCTTTGCTTCATGGTCGTTAATTATAAAATGTGCTAAGTGAATCTCTTCACCATGAAAGATTCCAAAATGCTGCCTAAGCTAAAAGCAGGCAACTGAAAAACCTGAAGTCAAATATTCAGCTGGAGGCTTAGGAAGTGGTTAAGACACAACAGCATGGCTGCCTTGCGTTTGGCTGTGGTTGAGTGAGCTCTCCGGGTGTGTGGATGTGCACGTGACTGCGCTCCCATCGATGATTAGATTAAACAAGCCTGTGTTTTGAAAAGCTACAGAGGCCCTCGAATCACCAGGGACCCAAGCCAAGTGCACAGAATCAGATGTCAGGACTGTCTGTGAGAAGTGGAGTGAAAGGAAGCTAGGATTAAACTTGGTATTTATCCCCAAACCCATTGCTTTAATCAACACGAACTGAGAGTGTTTTCTGACCCGGTTGGAACAGTGCCACCCTGTGTCTTTCTTGGCCCCCAGATGAAAGGTGGGAATAGGTCTTTGCTCTGTGTCTGGCAGCGTGGAGAGATTTAGTGTTTAGTGTCATTTTTTTAAAAAAATCAAATTCCAATTCGTATTTCTTTAGGGGAGGCCCATAGGTTTTCTGCCACATGTGGAAACTCAGCCAGTCGAAGGTGGCCCAAAAAGTAAATACATCACACACTTGATGTGTGATTTCTCTCTTCTTATGATTAGAAATGCTACCTTCCCTCTCAAATCAAGAGTGTTCGGTAATGTCAAACTATATCCAAACTATTGAATAACGGCAATACTCATAAGTAAAAGCATAAACAAATCAAGGTGTCCGTGAGAACAACAAAGCAGTTAACCATCACCAGGCACTGGGCATTTGTCAAGTCGATATTCTAAGCACTTTGAATCTTTTGTATCATTGAATCCTCACTCTCAATGGGTCGCCCGAGAGAGGGAAAAACCAATACCCAGAGAAATTTCTAAATGTGCCTGAGATCAACAACTAGTATACTGCTAAAATTCAAACCCATTTCCTCTTGTCCCAGGGCCCAAGAGGTGGATACTATCTTCTGATGGTTTCTCGGCATTTATTTTGAATGGGACAATCTTGAATTTGATTCAAAAGGATATTGACACAGCTAGTTATAAAGTGAAAAAAAAAAACAGTGTTCTTCCTTCCAATGATGCAACACTTCCTATTTATGTTTAATGTTTTGAATTGGGAGTTTAAGAGTTTTATTATTTTCTACACGAGAATCTGTATTTGAGTAAACATGTGCCGTCCAGTTATTGGAGCTCCTGGCTCTCTTCCTCGGGGATTCCAGATTGGGACCCCATGTGAGCTCTTGACTCACTTTTCAGCCCTTGGCAAGACCTCCTTGCACCTCAATAATCCCAGCTGGAAAATTAGGTAAAATAAAAACATGATTTCATGAAGACACAGATGCTTCAGCTGAGTAGTACTTGCTTAAGTAAACACATTACAGAGCTTCTTGTGACCCATTTTTAGGATGTGGTGCTGTGTCCCCTTGTCCATTGGTCGGTCTGGGGTCAGGAGGCAAGAACTTGAAATTCTGTTTAATTTGCAGACCAAAGTTTAGAAAAACAACCATTTCCTTCCCAAGGTTAATGTTATAAGTCAGCCCTGGTTGTACAGTAATACCTGAGTTGAACAAGAAGCTGAACTAACATTTTCCTTTAAAGTAATAGGTCTTCACCCAGGTGAACATTACCTCAGATTTCCTAACACCAGATTCACCTGTGGATTTAGAAAGGGAAGATGATGTTAAAACTCTGTGTTTTGGATATTAGAGATGAAATCTTTTTTTACTAAAAATGACACTTTTGCCCATTAAAAAGCAATTATCATACTAGAAAAAGTATAAAGCGACTAATTGTTTGCTATCTGAACTAACAATATAACTCGGACTCTTACCCTAATCTCTTCTTTTACCCTACAAAATTGCTTTGAGACCTTTTTACCTTTCTTTCCCTATACTCTAACTTGAGAAAGATGGAGCTCTCTGTCTTTGCAAGCCTAACAATGGCTTTTCTGTGAGTTTCTGGGATCCATCCCCATGCTTCCTCCAAGATCTCCCCCTCCCTCAAATAACTTGGCTCTGCATCATTTTAAAAACTTACCATAAAATACATTTTTGGTGAAAAAACAATGAATCACTTTAGGAGTTGTAAACATTTCCTCCAGCATTTCTTTACATTCTTCATGGGCTGTTTTATTCTCTGGGGCACCTGTGTGACTCCCAGCCACTCCAAGCCTGCTGGAGGCAGCTCCTCAGAGAAAGGCTTCATCTCCCATCCACATCTGCAGTCTTAAATGTCTCTGAGGGTGATTTATGAGCAAACCCTCCCTAGAAGAATGTGACGTCCTAGGCAGCCCACGACATCATGATAAATTCTGATTCCCCTTCATAATGTACTCGAAGATATTGCTGGCAGCTGGGACGTCACATTTTAAATTTCCTAGATTCCGGATTTTTCTCTATTAGTCAACTTCTAGTGTTCCAGTGTGTTTTCTTTACTGAGAGTGTCCCTTTAAAACAGCGGATGCATTTCTGTGCACCTTGCCCTTTTAGGGCTCAAAGACATCGGCCGACTGCATGCCTCGCATTAGATGTCTTCATGCCACGATCGGTGGGTCGCACTTGCAAATTGCCACTGCCCTTTCTGCTCACAGCCATCAGTATGTGTGTCACGTCTTTCCTGAAGAGCATCCAAGCACCCCTCACATGGACCTTCCATTTGTATTCCTGCCTGGCTCCTGCAGGGAAGTCACGTGGGTCTCTCTCCATTGTGCCCTGGTTCCAACTACTGTGGAACTGGCTGCGTCGTGTTTCTTGGGGAGCTTAAATGTTCTTCAGCTTGCCGTGGCTCTCATTGCCCTTGAGAGAGCGTGCCTGTCCCAACCAGCAGACACACGTTTCCACCGAGGACAGAAGATCCATCTGCCCTCTGAGGCGTCTGTCTCTCTCAAAGGATGCTCATGCAGCCTGCTTCGGACCGCCTCTTGGAGATCTTACAAAACTCCCATCTCCTGTTAGCTCTTGCTGAAGTGGAACTGAGATTTGTTCATGCTCAGACTGGCCATATTCTCTCATGGCCACATAAGAATCTCTTATATATATTTTCAGCAGAAATGAAGTTGCATCTCTTCATAAATCAGTAAACTTAGGGAACATAAAATTCTCAATATTATGTCAAATAGCATGCCAAAATATTCATAAAATTATACCAAAATCTATTTTTATAAACTGCTTGGCTTATATAGTTGAAATCTTTTACCACTTACCACTCTGTGAAATAAAACATCTCAGGCCCCTCACAGTGAATCTGGTGTTTGCCACGTGGCCTACATTTTAAATCAGAAATCAAAAACCTACCCTCCAAATTAAGTGACAGTCCCTTAATGCAATAATAAAAATGCATTTGGGAGTGCTGTTTATTTGTATAAGTTTGGAGAAAAAAAGCCTATTACTCTATTAAGTAGACATGACCATCTTATAAAGTAGAATGCAAAAATCACACTTTTAAAAATATGGAACCTGGATTAAATAAATGTCATGTTGCAAAAGTCACCTCAGGCCACTTTCCCTCTCTTCTATGCCAGGAAAAAATACTCAAGTGTGAAATTTCCCCACAAATCCCAGTGTCACTGATAAAGATTCTCTCTTGGAAAAGTTCAAGAAGCACAGAGTGCATTCTCCATCTGTGTGTTATGTACTAAGTTTAAGCCACTTAAAATCCAGCATGCCGTTCCCAAACTGGACGAGCCACCCTAATCTTCTCTTGCATGTTATTTGGGGTGTACTTTGCAGGCTGTGATGTACTTCCACACTACTTACCAAATACATAAAAACATGACTGCTGATGGGAGGTTTTCCCAAAGAAAACTTGCTCTCCTGGTGAATACTATTGAAGTAAATAACTGCCTAAGTAGTAGAAAAATGTTGAACCTCAGAAGGTCACCAAACCCTAGCCACTTAATTTGAGCCACAACAGCAACCAGCTGCTTGGTGGACAACTTTGTTATGAGGTGTTTGTGATTTAACAAGTTGGCCCAAAGTGGTAGGAATGCAGTGTGAAAGATTTCATTTCTGTTGGGCTTTTCCTGGTGCACGCTGGACTTTCTCGGTGGAATGACCCAAGTTCTTGCCTTTGGCATTCAGACACCCACAGAAAATGTGGTAATCCTTTTTCTATAGAATTTTCTACATTCTTGTGTAGTGATTTACGTATGATTCTATAAACTTTTGCAAAAATGCTACTAGGATATCTGTTCTCTACTTTTCAGAGTTTCAACACTGCTGCCCCAGATTTATTTTTAACAGCATTTTATATTTACCGGACAGTGTCATTTTACCCTTAGACTATTTAAAAATTAAACTTATGTAATAGAAGCCAATTTAGTTGGATTACAAGGATGTGGTTGTGAACTCTGTGATATAGTGTCTACCTTGTACAATGGAGATGGCAGTACCTGGGAGCCCAACTGGAGAATGTGGCTGAGAGGCATAAACAACAATACCACCTCGCTGAGTGATTGGGGGTAATCACTTACCTTCCCAATATTGTCTTTCTCTTCAAGCTCTAATCCTCCATGATGGGCACATTGGTATTTAGGCATTTCTTAAATGTAAATCAAAGTATGCCATTTATTTATGAGACTAGTACAGGTTCACAACTCACTAAATAACGTAAAGAAATGAAAGGGTGAAACAGGCTTACATTTGCATGGAACCAGAAGGTTGCTAATTTCATTTCTCTTTCTTTCCCACTCCACTCACAGTCATCTCTTATGTATCTACCTATTTACTTGGCTCAGAAAATAGAAGTCATCTACTAAGGCTTACAACATGCAGAAAATCAAGTAAAGTAGAGGAGAGGGGGTTCAACAGTCAGTAGGGGGGAAAGTTCTCTGATCTCCTGGGGATTATGGTTGCTCAGAGAAGGGGGAAAATCGGACAAATAATCATAATAATATATCGTGTGAGCTATGACATAATTGCACAGTTGCTTTGCAAATTCTTGATTCTAAATACGGCTGCCTTTCTACATATCACTGAGCATGTGTGATCCAGATGGATTGTGGGAACGTCTACTCCTTGGTGTAATGTTTCGGATTTCCTCTAAGTGCTTCTAACTACATGCAGCTTTAATTTCCCTAGGGGTGCAGTCTCTGTGTGAGAAGGTAGTAAAAATGAACTCATGTGCAATTGGTGGGAAAATCAAGTGCCAGTATAATTGTCACAGAGAAGTAGAAATGCAAAATCACTCTGCCTTGCGCTTCCTGTGTTCTTTCCCTTAGGACATCTGCTTGGCCTCTCCCACGACGATTCCAAATTCTGCGAAGAGAACTTCGGTTCCACAGAAGATAAACGCTTGATGTCTTCCATCCTCACCAGTATCGATGCATCCAAGCCCTGGTCCAAATGCGCGTCGGCCACCATCACAGAATTCCTGGATGACGGCCATGGTATGTGTTGTCGAGGACAACAGAGGCTCAAAAACACAACTTGGGATTGTCATGAGTTTTATTTCGTTATGTCCCCATGACATTCATCTTTCCCTCTCAGACAATGGTTGTTTAGATAGTGTCCAAAAAAAAAGGAAGGAGCAAGAGGACTGTCTGTTGGTGCGTAATGCCAACGTCCTTGGTGGCATTGTAGCAATGATATTTTCGCGTTTGAATTGAAAAGTTCAAAAGAGAAGCAGTGTGGGAGACCACACAGAAGGCTTAGCTAGTGCCCTGAAATCCTGGCTTTTATTCCTTCTTTCACCACGAGCTTCCTGTGAGAACGCTGGCAGACATCTTGTATCCCTGCTATTAATATGACTCGCACAATTATTTGTTACAGGCCTATTACAGGGGTGTGGTTCAGAAGTGGGTGACAGTTCTGTCAGATGCTTTTTATGGCAACAGAACGCCGGGAAAGGAAGCTCTTTAGATTTGCATGCATTGGAAGAATTTGGTTTCACCCTGACAGCAGATTCTCCTGAAAGTGGAGTAAAAACTGAGGACCAGAAATAGAAAATCAGTCTGAACAGTGAGAAAATGCTCTAAGAACATCAAAAGAAAACCTTTGGCTTTCTCATTTAGATACAGTTCAACAACATAGCATACTTTATTAAATTCTGTAAATCTAGGGTTCGTGGATCATAGTAAAGTATGAAGAAAGTCACTGTTTTAAGAAATAATAAGTTCTGACCCCTAAGTAATATTTGAAACCAGTGGCTACAAATTTCCTAGCACTTCTAATTATTTTAAAAGACTAGTAACACTGGAGAATAGACTCAGAGTTGAAAAAGATCTTCAGAGACCACTTAGTTTGTTCAAGTTTCTTGTTTTACAGAAATGAGCACATTTTCATCTCTTGGTTTTTTTTCTCTTAAAATTTGTCTCTTTGTGGAACTGGTGGTTGAATTGAATATGACAGAAAATCTTGAGTATTGATTGTCCATAAATTTAACTCATGATGTGTGATTCAAAGGTGGGTACAGAGAATCTGTGATAGCTGATGTTCCCTAGTTCCACAAAGTTTCTGGCTCCATAATCTCAAAAGGATTAAAAATTCAATTTGTCTCAGACAAAAAGAAATTCTGCCACATAGTTCTTTCATATCTTACAGGCAAAAATCTGTTCATTAACTCATTTTTTGCTCTGTTAGTGGCAATGCTTTATCCACTTGGGACTTTTAAAATTTCCTATTTGTAAATATAATCCATGCACAGCTTGCTTTAGAATTTTTCTCAATAAAAAAAATACATGTTCTTTGTTCATTGAAAGGGCATCTCAATATCTCAGATTTAGTAACAACACCAAGAATCCATCAACTAGGCCTTTGCTTGACTACTAGTAAAGTGGTAGTTTTCTGTTTAGCTCTCAGTTTACAATGTTAAGTATTGATAAAGTCCCAAAATCAATGTTTACTTGCTTATCTGCTTATCTATATGATCAGTTTGATCAAGTCAATATCTAATGAAGTCCCTCTTGGGTAGAATCTTACTGTCCACTCTAGATATTACTTTTCCTGGGGGCTTTTCTCAGGCTTTCTGAAAATGAAATCACATTAATATTTTATTTCAGCATCACACGTTACACATTCCAAAAGGCTGAGCTAAACTTTGAATCACTAAATGAATGGATTTGGTTGCTAAGGCAGCAAATACTTATGGCTAAAAGGGGACCAAACTTTTTCCTGTGCAAGTATTAGGTCAGTTAATTACAATGCTGGGCAGATTCTGTTTCTTATTGCCATAATTTTGGAATGATGCATTTATTTCATATTTGTGGAATCCATGATCTTACTTTCTGTGCAGTAAATGTGCTTTAGTATTGCCATTTTTAAACATTGTTTCTGTATTTAAAAAGAGCCATGTTCAGATTTGTTAAGTTTTTGCAACAAATGTATTTATTTTGTATATCTCTCCATGTTTGTTCCAAAGGACCTCATGGTCTATAACAAGCAATAACATACTTTTAGTAGAAATAGATCTAATTCACTTGCAATAATAAAATCTTATCTGAATTTCTCACATATATATTAAATTAATTAATTAAATTACCTAAATTCTTTGGACAACAAATTCTCCTAGTCGATGTATTAATTCATTTCATCAAAACTAGGCTCTCACTTTTGAATATATTCATTAGGCATTCTTGTGTTTTAACAACAATTAAAAAAAGACCTTTATCAGTAGCCTATAATGAATGAAGTAATTTCAGAATAAGGAAAACTGAAGAAAGGCCTTATGATGCAATGGCAAAGCTCAATTATGTGCATTTTTAAAAAGCATGCACAGCAATGCTCTTTGTAGTATTCTCATTTCATGTGAATTCAAGTAGTACAATGACTTTTAAATTACAACCAGAAAAACTGACTTAAGTGACAGTGTGGCAGTAGGAACTAATAAAGGCAATTTCCAGATGTTGAGATTCTGACATTCTCACTCCAGAGCCTTGGAAAGAACCACAGAGAAAGGCAAAGTCCTAGACAATGGAGAAGCAAACAAACAAACAAACAAACAAACAAAAAACATGCATTTTTGTCCAATGGCTGAACTGATACTGTGAAAACATATCATGAAACCCTTTTATTTTACTCATAGGGAATTCACTCAGTCTTCCATTCAGAGCTTGTTTATTCATATTTAATAGAAATAATCTACTTTTGTTTTTGCTCTAATTTTCCGGGCCATCAACAATTTTAAGCAATAATGTAATCGTGGGGGGGGGTGCACCTCAGAGAGGTAAACTGGGGGCAAGAAATTATATCATTTGACAGTAAGGGAGAAACCCAAAAAGCTGTAAGATTGGCCTTAAAACATTAAAAGCTTAGAGGTCCGGCAGTGTTTTCCAAAAGGTCAAAGACCCAATCCCATCCGCGTGATCCCTGACGGTACCCCTATACTTCAGCAAGATACAAAACTCAATACATGGATAAAAGTGATTTTCTTTTATTTAAAAAGATTAAATTGTGGCCCTGGCTGGCGTAGCTCAGTGGATTGAGCGCGGGCTGCAAACCAAAGTGTCCCAGGTTCGATTCCCAGCCAGGGTACATGCCTGGGTTGCAGGCCATAACCCCCAGCAACCGCACATTGATGTTTCTCTCTCTCTCTCTATCTCCCTCCCTTCCCTCTCTAAAAATAAATAAATACAATTTAAAAAAAAAAAGATTAAATTGTGACACCAAGTATAAAGGCAGCAAAGCAATTGCTGTTTTTAAATAGATGCCCTCATGAAATTTATACAATTGGTAGAGATGGTACCTAAAGAATTCATTATCTGGAAAAATCTATTTTTGGATAAATCTATTTATGGGTAAAAAAAATTGCTCATCTGTCTCCCTCCTACCTCCAGCAATGATGGAGAAATGGGATCTTAGAGTATAATTAAATTCAAACCATTTGATTTGTCTTTAAAATTATTAGCCATAAGTAGGTGGACATTTATAGCATGCAACCACTGCCAAATTTAAATTCATTAATACGGAGTGTTTCCTGATTTAGTTCCAACAAGGAATATGTAGCAATTAGGTTATGGTTGAAAAGTTAGTATGCACACACCGAAATAACTGTGCCTGCAGATTTGTGATTCAGAAAAGGAGAAGCCATGTCTCATGGGAACCCCCAGCCCCTGCCAGCCTGGCCAAGATACTTGCAGATGATCTGCAGTGTTTATGCAAGTTAGCTCCAGGCAAGCTGGCCAGGAGTGTGATCCTCAAAACTAAAGAGAATCACTGGCAGAGAAATTGTGCAGTGAAAGCAGGTTATTGAATTTCCTTTCTTAAACGCTCAATGACCTTGAAGCCAGAAATGATAGCTGTGCCCCCGCTATATCCCTAAGCCGCAGGACCCCGTGATGAGAAGGCCACCGCCGAGGTAGAAAGAGTTCAAGTGCACCCATGACACAGGCTGCTAAGGAAAATCGACAAACAGCTTTGAAAAATTAACTTGCAGCATGTTTAAAGGTCTAAGTTTACAGCCACTTACTGAACACAGGATTTTGGAGATAAAATGGTTTTAGAAAATCAGTTCTCAAAATCCTGTCTAAGTATAGACTATAAAGCTAGTAATATGACATTAACATCCAATTTCTTTTCATCTTGATCAGAATTTATTGGCATAAATTTGTTTATAACGTCCTTATTATATTTTTAATATGTAGTGTGTCTGTACTTATAGCCTGTTATTTGTTTAAATATTTTAGGGGTTTTTTTTATTTAAGTTTAGTTGGTATATAATATTATGTTATTCAGATATACGATACAATGATTTAACATTCATATACCTTAATATGCGATCACCCCACTAAGTCTAGCAGACTTAACATTCAGGTTTTAAGGTAGTCCTCATCAATTCAAAGCTCATTGTGATAGTATCTTGATTTTCACCAAAAATGTGCTCTTTACTAGAGTCTGCAGATAAGACGTATGTTTTAAGTCCATGGTGACACACATGGTTAAAAAGCTAGGCCTCATCCTTTCACATGCAGAATTTTTAATGTGATTCCATTGGCCTTGTATCTGCTAGAGAGTGTCCCTAAAGTTCCTAACAGTTTCACAAACAGACCTTTGAATTTCTTTTGGTCAGCAACAATTCACTGTGCTTGCTCAGTGCCCTCAGTGGTTTACCTGTCACCGGGCCGATACTGCACCAGTTCCTCTTTAAATGTCAAACATTCACATAAAGACTCAAAGGAGAGTGGCAGGGCCGGGGAGATGATGGGTGAGTTCGCAGTGGTGTCAGCTCCTTGGAGTGAGTTTCACTGGGAATGTTCATTGATTTCTCCTGGGCCACGGATATTTGGGCCAACACTTAATATCACACCTCTGTAGTGAAAAGGAAAGCAAAATAAGTACAGTGTTCGAAACAGTGAAGAAAAAATGAAAAGAATGAAGAGCAACCAACCTTAGTCCAATAATTTCCATTAATCCTTAATATGAAAGACAAACAGTAGTGGAAATCAGATAAATACATACGTACATATCTGACTTCCTTACATCCATATATAAGGTTTTCCTGTTGCATTTCCTGGAGTCCCAGCACCGCCCCCCCGCAGCCCCTTAGTGCCCCTGTGACGTGGGAAGACCATTCTCTCCTTCAACCGTCCATCCCGAATCACTGCGTTTGCTTTTTAATTTTCACCCTACTCATGGCATGTCACTTAATATGTACAGACCAATGTACGATATGCACACATTTCTGTTGTCTTTCTTTTAGAGACCATCCGTGGATACATACCAAATACTAAAACAAAACGAAGGGAGAAAGGAGGGAGAAGGAACACAGCAAGCAGACACATGTTGGCAGCGAAGCCCAGACAGGGTTTCAGACAGGGCGGAATCGAAAGAACACGTGAAGTAGATGTGAAGATGTGGCTGAGGAAAAAAAAAAAACAGATCGAGAAAAGTCAGCAGTAGACCAGAAGCTTTTAGAGGCCAATAGGAATGATACTAAAAGGTTAATCGATTTCCTCTTTCACCCCTCCCTGGAAATGTACACAGTTTTTAAAAATTCTTAGAAATCTATACCTGATCCACTATTACCGAGATTTTAAATATTTTATACTGCAAGATTCACAATAAGGTTTTTAATTGATTTTTTTTATTGCTCTGTGGCACAAGTCTACCATTTGGTAGAGACGCCTGCACCTATTTTATAGCAAAAGGACAGAATTTGACCTGTAGATGAAATCGATAGATTGTGTATTTCAGAGTAAAAAGAAATGAAGGCAGCAACAAAGCTGACTGTTGAGAACACTGGCGTAAAATACTAGTGGCAATTCTGGAATGAGTCATTTTAAGCAAGAAAAGGTCATCTCCAGGGGACCTCTTTGGGAAAGCCACGCAGCTGAGATACCAAACTTTTAATAGCAAAGCAAATGTGTTATTCATTTATAAAACTCCTACTTTGGTATTAAGTTTCATACAGAGATGCCACCTCTTGAACTCGCCTTTTTGTACGCTGATTTCAAATTGTTTGCATGATCCGTTTCTTTTCACTCATCATCCACTGGGGAGGTAGCAAGGATGTCGGTGACTCCAGGTCCACAGAGAGGTGCTGAGTTACTGTGGCTGGAGAGGTACCAGGTAGGCCCCTGCCACACGCACCCACACCTGTGACGACTTCCCAGCGTACAGTCAGCTGCCCAGGCTTACGGTCTGTGCTTTTTAGTAAAGGGAAAACGTTTTTTTTTTTTTTTAACGGTGCTTTTGAAGGCTTGGAAAGCATTCTTGCTGTCTCAGAGATTTGGTGACAGCCTTGTAACACCAGCAGTCTGTTCCGCGTGTCCTGGTTTGTTTTCCACAATACCCTCTTCTATGTAGCAGTGGAGATAACGCTCTGTCAGGAGTCCCGCAGTGCCCTATCTTCCTCTGCCTTCCAAACAAAGCTTAGTGAGGTTTTCCTATCATTCTTTCCTATTGGCTTGATGCTGATGTTTTCCTTTTAACTTGATGTTTTTCTCCCAAAGTTCTCTTTGGCTGGGTTCTTAGTTTTAATGCTTTTTCTGGCTTGCCTTAAGAAGCTTTACCTCTTCAAACGTTCTGGCTCAGAAGTTAAATAGGAACTTTGCTCTTTATTCATTTTCATATAATGCCTCCATCACAGATTGACAAATTCTAAGGTATTCACTTTGAAGAAAGTTGAATATAGGAGTTGTGAAAACGTTTGCAGTATATTTAAAATGTGCTGAATCGTTCACTTCTTGGGAGAAAGTAAGACTTAAATATGATGTTCTTATGATGACTAAAAAGAAAAACCCAAAAACCTTGAGGTGGTTGTTAAATATGCTGGGCATTGTTTTATGTTTTTCTGGCAGCCTCTTATAACTTCCTTAGCTAATTTTCCCTTTACAGTATCACAGAGACAAGAGAAACATTTCACAGAGCTTGAAAATAAATTAGGGAGAGGTTAACTACCTTGGCCAAGAACACTGAGCCCTTTAGTATTTTGCCGGAATCAGACTTTAGACTGGGTGTTTCTACTACTGGGTGTGATACCCACCATTTCAACCATCCCTACACATCTTGCTTTTCTTTCTTTTTTTTAAGATTTTATTTATTTATTTTTAGAGAGGGAAGGGAGGGAGATAGAGAGAGAGAGAGAGAAACATCAATGTGCGGTTGCTGGGGGCTGTGGCCTGCAACCCAGGCGTGTACCCTGGCTGGGAATCGAACCTGCAACACTTTGGTTCGCAGCCCGCGCCCGATCCACTGAGCTACGCCAGCCAGGGCCTACATCTTGCCTACATCTTCAATAAAACAAGAAAGCAGTCCACATGCTAAGCAGAGGTAAAGATGATGAATGGTGAGAAGGGTGGGCTCTGAGCATAAAACTCTCATTGCTGTATGGCCTTAGGTAAGTGATCTATTTTTATGTTCCTCAGTCTCCTTCTGTGTAAAATGAAGAAAATAATAGAATCTGTTCAGCAGAGTTCTCATGAGGATTAAATAAACTAGTACGTTTAAATAACTGAGAATAGTGTAAGTATGTAAGAAATATTTGTTATTTTTAGCAGTCTTAATAATCAGCAGGTAAATCCTAAAATCAAATAAACCAAAAACTACAGAGTGTTGGGCAGGATACACCCTCCCATAGGATGGGAGAACATTAGTGATATTAACTCACTGAGCAGGGATTCTTTGGGAAGCTTTTTGTGGAGAGGTGAGGCACGTTCCAGCTTCTGGAACCGCATCCTTTCCCTGAAGTGCCAGCTTCTATTACTGGCACTTAATATGCCCCAATATATGCCCCATATTACCTGGCCACGAGGACAGCAGCTCATTGGGGGCAGACACGCTCCAAACACCCAACAGACAGTAATTACATCCAAAAACTGACGCAGTGGGGTGAAAAAGGAGGAGAAGAATAAGAAGATGAGCCTCACCCAAAGATTCTCTTCTCCTCCCACTCCTCCTTTGTTCTGTGACTCTTGAGAGCTCTTTATTAAGATTCTTATCAGTCTGGGAGAAATACTTGATTCAGTCTATCTCTTTCCCTCTATTGGGAGGCCTTGAGGGGTGGATTTGGGTAATGTCTTTGCTTTCCCAACACCCAGTATGTTTGTTAGCACATTGTAGGTGCTAACCGAATGTGTGGGCATCATACCCATTATCACTGCTTCCAGTGAGCTGCAAGAATAAATGAGGTAAATGTAAGTAGGAAATGGAAAGCGGAGTATAAATAGAGCACCAAGGACAAACACTGTGTCTCGGCGTGGTAAATGCTTATCTGTTGTTGCTGTTCTTTTTGTCACGTCCATTATTTTACTTCCTCTAGGCCTGTCCCAGTTTCTTTTAGTCCCTCAGCACCATGTCTGTTTTCACAACTAAACATTACAAAACACTTTCCTTCCGTCACACCACTGCCATCATTCCAGGTACCCCTGAGCTAATACGTTACCCACTGAAAATCTCGGAGGGTGTGGGTGAGCTCACAGAGGCACCCAGCCTTGCTCTCGCCCCTCCCTGCCAGACTCCCCTCTCTGGGGCCTCACACTACAGATCTGTGGGCGTGTCTTGTGTCAACACCAGCTGGAGGGCGTCACTTTAACAGCCATGATTTTAGTGGTCTGCACCCTAAACACGGAACGGTGCTCAATCTCAGTTATTCTTTCAGGTAACTGTTTGCTGGACCTGCCTCGCAAGCAGATCCTGGGCCCTGAGGAGCTCCCAGGACAGACCTACGATGCCACCCAGCAGTGCAACCTGACCTTCGGTCCCGAGTACTCCGTGTGCCCGGGCATGGACGTCTGCGCCCGCCTGTGGTGCGCCGTGGTGCGCCAGGGCCAGATGGTGTGTCTGACCAAGAAGCTGCCAGCTGTGGAGGGGACGCCCTGTGGGAAAGGGAGGATTTGCCTGCAGGGCAAGTGCGTGGACAAAACCAAGAAAAAATACTATTCGGTAAGTGATTTTCCTGTCACTCAATCCCCAGAGACCCGAGACCTGAAGTGCATCCCTGTGACACGTGGGGACAGTCACCTGAAGGCTTTGTTTCCTAGTTCAAATATTTTTTCCCGAGAGATCTATTTACTGTTCCCTCCCTTAACCACAGGAGCCATTTCCAGTCATCAAAACACGGAGGAAATGCAGACCATAGAAACTCTTCCCAGATTCTCTCTACTTGAGACTCCAACTAGGGCCCACTTCTTGGAAGTTTTCTTCCAAGCTTGTCTTACCAGAGTTAACAGAACACATTGTTTGGATTCATTAAGGAAACAGCAGCAGACCTGACACAGGGTTCTCATAGAGGCTCAGTGAGCTCCAAAATGGTCATGTTACCCGCCGCATAGCAAGTTCCTCCAACCTTAGGAGCTGAAGTAACTTACTGCCTGCGCAGGGAAAACCCCCACCCTCCGCCTATACTCCACTTCCATGTCCGCAACCGCCACCTTACTTTTTACAGCCCACACAGAGCTCCTGTTTATTTTTACTCATAAGATTTCCAAAGTCCCTAGAAAGATGTTGCCATGTGCACATTGCCTGTATCTTCAAAGGCCAGCAGCTTCTCAGACACCCTGACACAGGCAGCCTGCCAGCGTTCTGCAGACGTTACCTTGGCAAAGGAGTTCACAGCATTCTTCCTCGTGGAGTCTCAGCTGCCTGCTGCAATGTTTGCAGAGTGATAGACCTGGGGTGTCAAAACAGGGCACGTGGCATGTGTGCATGTGGTGTGGGTGCACCTCAGTATCTGTTACATTTTCCCTCTAGGGGCTGAAACCCTAATCTAGTTAGAAATTAAACTAACCTCAGGTCTAATACGTGTATGCAGGTGGCAGAGGGCATCTCACAAACAGGATGTGTGACGTCAACAAAGGCACTGCGGAACTTTCGTACTAAAGTGGGACAAACGATACAAGTACAATGAACTGATGCCTGGTATCATGCAAAACCTTTAGCATCATATGTTAAAGATGCAAGATCAGAGTGGACCAAAAGTTAACCAGGGTTCAGTGGTGATTAACAGAAGGGTGCAATGTCAGAATGCGTGAGTTAAAATGGCCAAGAGAAACCAGGAGGCGATCCTTGCAGTGTTCTAAGTGCTTAGGGTGAAATGTTCAGAACCTCTAGTGCAGGGGAGGGGGAAAGCGGAAAAGATGAGTTGCCGAGAATCAGAAACACACTGTAATTCCAGAACCTGCAATACCTATAACCAGGCTAAATTCACTGAAAACTTGACTCTGTGATGAAGTTTCCATTGTCACAGAATGCACGTGATTTCCAGGTGTGCATTTTGTATGGTGTCCTCCCATCTGAGTTAAAATGTACTCTGTTTTCCATTTCAGACCTCAAGCCATGGCAACTGGGGGTCCTGGGGGTCCTGGGGCCAGTGTTCTCGCTCCTGTGGAGGAGGAGTGCAGTTTGCCTATCGTCACTGCAATAACCCGGCACCCAGAAACAGTGGCCGCTACTGCACGGGAAAGAGGGCCATCTACCGTTCCTGCAGCGTGACGCCCTGCCCCACTAACGGTATGCTGCCCCCGAGTGCCCGCAAACACTGTGCGTCACGTGCAATTTCTATTCTAGCGGCCATACATCAGGCAGGCTGTTGAAATAGCCTGCTACTCATGCACTGCATAGTTCTACCAGTGTGAAAATCAATAACACATACATGAGTGACTTTTAAATTACTGTTATAAACAATTGAGTATTCAGGGCGTGGGAAGAAAATAATTGATGTTGTCAACTCTGTGAATCCATGAAGACTCTTCAGCACTGGTGTTTAAAGGGGCTGTAAAAGAAAAAATTGAGCATCTTAAAATTATGTAAATGCACAAGAATCTGTGCAAGTTTCACAACAGTACACTAATAACGCGACATGTTTGTCTTTTTTAGGCAAGTCTTTTCGGCATGAGCAGTGTGAGGCCAAAAATGGATATCAGTCTGATGCAAAAGGAGTCAAAACATTTGTGGAGTGGGTCCCCAAGTATGCCGGTGTCCTACCAGGGGACGTGTGCAAGCTGACCTGCAGAGCCAAGGGCACCGGCTACTACGTGGTGTTTTCTCCCAAGGTAGCTAGCTCCCCGCGCGCTGTGTGCCAGAGGCAGCGGGCACCCTCCGCGGGGCTGTGTGGCAGAAGGAAGCCTACAGACACCAGAGTAAACAGTCATTATTCCGGGGGTGGCTGCATTTTGAAGGGTTTTATTTTCATCTCTATAATTTCTATCTTTGCAAACTTTATACAATGAATAAATTTTTTTGTAAACAGAACAAGTAAATGTTTTAAAAGCTATTTTTGAAAAGGGTAACTCCGTCAAGTCAGGTGAGATGTGACCTTAACTTCAAAATAGCCCTGAAAACAACTAGTATTCCCAAGGCACACTTTTAAAGAGGGCTAAAAGCAAGAAAGCTTTTCTTTTTAATGTCATTTCCTTAAGAATTTTGCTAGGGATTCATAAAGATAGATTTCAAGATCATCGTCTGCGACCTAGATTGTTAAATGCCTTGCACCCCCGGTGTAAACCAATCAATGAGCCTCTAGTTGCACACATAATATATGCATGTAAAGTCATGCCTTATTTTTCAGAGGAGAACATTCTCTAAATTACTTCAGCTTTGCTTCTCACAGCCAATATTATGCAGCAATTTATATAATACCATTTATCTAACATGCAAAAAATGCTACTTTATTTATTTATTTTTCCACTTACAGTTTACATTCAATGTTATTTTGTATTAGTTTCAGGTGTACAGCATAGAGGTTAGACAATCATATACTTTACAAAGTGTTTCCCCTGATATTGCTAGTACCCGTCTGACACTATACATAGTTATTACAATATTATTGACTATATTTCCTGTGCTGTACTTTACATCCTCATGGCTATTTTGTAACAACCTTCACAACAGGTGCTACACTGAAAACCAGCTCTGTAACCGGCCTTCAGATATTTCTGACATATTACTGAAAAATAAGTTCATATCCAACTAAATAATTTACAAACTACTTTAACTGTTTATTGCAAGAGAGCACATTTTCATTTTTAAAAAGTAGTACAAAGGAATAAAACCAAAAATGTCACCTGGAAATATAACCATCTGGAGAGCTGTTTACGTATTGAAGTATATGCTACTTCAATTTATACGTACTCGCATACACACACACAGGGTTTTACATATACACAAATACAAAATACATCTGTTTCCATATGGCATGTTATTTATATACAGTGGCATGCACAAACCACAAGTAGTGCTTATACATCCTGTTTCATAACTAGTTTTATGAAAATACGTTAATTCTTTTATTCAAATATATTGATTGTCTTCCCATAAGTAGTTCTCTCTGACTTCCCCAGACTCCTTTTCCTACACTAATTTGCTTGTCTGAATTTCAGCAGCTGCCAGTTTCACTCAACAGGGAAGGCTTTCCCACCACGACACTGTTGTGACTGTTGGACTTACAAATACATCACCGTAACAACAATTACAGAACAAAGAAAGATCCCATGTGGTCTTGACAAGTCCGGCCCATATACTGGTCTCCACACACGGGACAGGCAATCCCACCGGCTAAGCGAAAAGACTGTTTCTCCTGATGCTATAGGCGACAGTGTGCAATGGGAATATGCCGCACATGCTGGAATGCGGAGGGGCACCTTTGGTGTCCCAACACGTTCAGAGTTCAGCTCAGGAGAGAAAGTGTATAACCGAGATCTGTCCCAGGTTTTCCAACACGTAAAGGATTTTTCAGTTAGATACTCCTGAAAACTATAGTTTTTTTGGTTCTTTATTTCTCAGTGGACTCTCTATTCCAGTCACCCTCAAAACTCACAAATTAAAATGTGTTCTTTTAGCAAAGAAACCAAGTGCCTGGCCCAAGGACTGTCCACAGCTGACGTGTCTCTCCCATCCAGGTGACCGATGGAACCGAATGCAGGCCCTACAGTAATTCCGTCTGCGTCCGGGGGAAGTGTGTGCGCACCGGCTGTGATGGCATCATCGGCTCAAAGCTGCAGTACGACAAGTGTGGCGTGTGCGGCGGGGACAACTCCAGTTGCACGAAGATTGTTGGAACCTTCAATAAAAAAAGGTAATGGAGAGGAGGACAATTGCCCCATATGTGAATTGAACAAAGCATCGAGCTCTTGCAAAATCGATAAAGGAGGACTCATGTTACATCATAAGCTGTCTGTGAGAGGAGGGCTACCGGGGCCTCTTTAATGCATTCTGAATATGAGAAGGGAAAGAGAGGAGGTGCAAAAGGCTCTGGTTGCCAAGTGGGAACTCGTGGCGCCTCTGGAAGCAGGCGAGCTGTGGGGGCCATGAGGTCACAGCCTTGCAGTACGAACACTGAAAAAAAAGGCAGAGACATTGCATTTGAGCTATATCATGCAGGTCCATCATTCCTGATACATAATTTAGAAAGGATGGCTGGTCTCCATCTTACGTACTTTGCTTTTTTTCTTCTTACAAACAAATTCCCACTGGGCTGCGTGGTTCTTAAGAAAACATTTCTCCGTGAAAGCTCTAAGTTAATTGCTGTGGTAGAGATAACAGTCCCCCTTTATTAACTATCCTGGTTTGAATCCACTCTATAGAGTAATGTCTTTCCTGCTTCTTTTCATGGTCCTAGATTACACTCTTACTTTAAACACATAAGTGTTTAAGGTACCGATTTCTTGCACAGAACATTATGCTCTCAGCGAGGATGGCTGACTCAGCTAAAGAGTCTGCTGGACGCAGGATCGGTGTTCTTGCTCACCGGACCATGCTCGTGCTGAGTGTGATCCATGAGGCACAGCTGTTGTCTTCACGTCTGTTCCGTGTTTCTCTAACTGGAGAGGAACAGACACACCGAAGTAATGATAAGGATTTAGTTTTAAAATTGCCTGCCATGGTAATGTAAAAAATTACCTCTGACATGATGAAAATGTGTATTGTTGCAGAATTTACTCTGAATTAAAACGTGCATTGCTAGTCCTGTTTGCTAGTGATGTAATAATTATTCATCTAATTGTGTTTGGTCATGGAAGTAGAAAACCCTGCAAGTCCAATTATGCCCTGCATTTTTATATACTTCAACGGTGCCAGGCACCTCAAAAATGATCAAGCCTAACTTTTGTTTTACAAATGAGGGAACTGGGTCTCTGAAAATTTAGGATTTACCCAATTTTACGTGGATGGTGAATGCCAGTTATGTAAAACTTAACTTAGGGTCATAGGATGCACAGACCATTTTTTAAAAAGAAAGAAAGAGGAAGGAAAGAAGGAAGGAAGGAAGGAAGGAAGGAAAGGGATTTAGGAACCAAAGAGAAATAAAATTACTTTTACAAGATAATACCTTATATATTGTATGTTATATATTTCTCCCACATAAACTTATAAACTACTTTCAAATGCTAAGTTCAGCATTTTAAGCTTTTTGTATTGAGCTTTTTGAATATCTGAGTATTTGACATCACACGAAAAGATGAGCTTCATGATGTCAACAAGTGGAAGGCGGCATCACCACTCGCAGACTGATCTGACCAGCATTATATTATGCCATGCAAATGGCCTGTTTAAGTACCCCAAATAAACCACCTTGGCTTGTGTGGCTTATAAAAAGGCATATTTGCAGTCAAGCTCTGGCTCGGCAAATTCAAGAGCCATTCACTCTTGAACAGTCACTTAATTTCTTTACTGTCAGAATTCTTGAAAGTAGAATGATGATGATACTAATTCATCTTTAAAATTAATATTGCTTTGAGAATCAAGTGAGGTAATGCATATTAAAATATGTCATCAGGTTCAAATCTCTCCAGAAATAAGACACTCCTCTGAATTCACTCCTCTCTCAATTTTCCGCATGTCAGTAAATGACCACTCAGTCCTTCCACTGCGCAGGTCCAAAAGTTTGAAGTCATCTTTGCTCCTCGTTTTCTCTCACAGTTTTTTCCACCAGCACGTCCTGTCAGTCTTACTGCCAACATATGCTCAGCATTTGGCTGCCCCTCAGCACCACCAAGATCACTGCAACTCCAGCCCAGTGAGCGCCCCCTCTTACCGGGACCAGCCCAGCAGTCTTCCCAAAGGTCTCCAGGACCATGCCCTCCATGCCCCTTCTTCACAGAGCAGAGAGAGCCATCATGTATTACCTGTCCGAGATCATGACATTCCCTGGCTCAACAGCCTCCTACAGCTTCCATCTCACTGTTTTGTAACCTACAAAAAGGGGCTAAAAGCTTTAGACCCTGCTGTGTTCTGTGTCTCTTCTGTACCATCCTTTTCTCTGGCTCTGCTCCACCCATACTGGGCTTCCTGAAGATTCTTAAATGTGGCAACCCAGTGCACGTGCACTGTGTCCTCTGCCTGGAACCTATTTCCCCAAAGAATAAGCCAGGCTGCTTCTAGAAGTCCTTCAGGTGACTGTCAAGTGTTACTACTCCAGGTAGTGGCCACCCTGGATGAACACCTCCATCCCGGTCATTACTCTCTACCTGCTTGTGCTGCTCTGTGATTCTTCACAGCTCTTATCAACAGATATTGTCACACATTTCATTTGCGGGGAGGAGCCAGGGATCTGATTGCCCCCCACCAGAATGCCATCGTGCTTCCTATGCAGGAATGAATGTATTTCCCCTGTGACAGGCACTGATAGTGCTGTGGACATAACCCTGAACTAAACAAGAGCCCCTTATCCTGCCTGCCATACTTCCAAATAGTTATATGAAAACAACTGCACTCATTCACAGTAGCCAGAGAGGCAGCTTAATGTCCAGCATGTACGTGGTGCCCAGCACAGTGTAAAGAAAATGAATGAGTACAACAATAACTGTATTTTACTAAGGCACGAAGAAATCAAGGCACTGATGCTTATGCTTGTCTTGTGAGCTTAGTTTGAAAACCTGCTGCAGTGCTGACAGTCGACTGTGATTCTCACAAATGTGATGCAGGCTGCAGAGAACAGGAGGAAAAAAAGCTCTCCCACCAATCCCATTACCTCCCTCCTTTATCTTCTTTGCATCCTCTCTTTGGGATCATTTCAACACTGAATGTAACCAGAACTTATTTTCATTTAGCTGTTACAAAATATGAATGGGAGAGGTAAGGGTTATAGGCATGGCAATATGGTGAGAGGAGCACCAATTCGGAGTCAGGAGGCCTGGTTTCTAAGCCCAGCACTACCATTATATTAGTGCTGGAGCGGACTTGTTCAAATGTTTTACTATATCCCCGCCATGTATGACTTTTCTGTAAGGTAAGAAATCATCCCCAACATCCCTTCTGGCTTTCTTTGAAGCCATTGGAGGACTGCATATTATCTCTTGATAGCAGATACTTCAGAAGAAAGCCCTGTAATGCAGTGCAATCCAAAGTGTATCACAGCAGTAAAAACAGTGGAAAATAATGGATCCAGTTGAATGGATCAGCAGCATTGTCAGCATTGCATCTTCAACACAGTAGGAAGCTCCAACACCTGTCAGGCAATCAGGGTAGACCAGATGCCCGAGAAACAGGGCTTCCCTGGGGAGGGGAGCCTCCTCTCCAATTCAAGGAAAAGGCTTGAGTGAGGGAAACACAGGTATATTTTTAGTATATGAATCAGTTGCCCCAAACCTCTAAACTTGGGTGTGAATTTGAAAGTAAGTAATTAAATTATATATATATATACATCAGTCAAACTGCACAATTTACTTATTTCTATTTAAATAACTAAGAAAGTAAAACAAAAGGATTCTTTACTATGAAATTACTTATAGAAGCAAAGATTTTGGCAATAGATGACTACTCCTCTCTGGTATAGTCCCTTGCTGCTTAATTAGCATTTCTTTCTTAGCATTTGCCACAAGCTTATGGATTTTAGAGATATTTATGCCTTTGCCCATTTTCCTCAGCCAGTGATGGATCTTTACTTTTTAATTATATTTAATCGATTATGCTATTATAGTTATCCTGATTTCCCCCTTTGCCCCCTTCCACCCATCACCCCACACTCCCTCAGGCAATCCCCCCACCATTGTTCCTGTCCATGGGTCATGTGTATAAGTTCTATGGCTGGAGACCTATCTTACTTGTCACCTACATTAAAGCCTCACTCAATCTATCATAATGTTTCACAGACACTAAGCATTTGGGGAAATTTGCTAAGGCATTCAAGATTCTTCTTTTTTTTTCTATTGTTGATACTGGTAAGGGCTGGTTACCCAGTTACAGAATTTTTTTTTAGATTTTATTTATTTATTTTTAGAGAGGGAAAGGAGGGAGAAAGAGAGAGAGAGAGAAACATCAATGTGCGGTTGCTGGGGGCCATGGCCTGCAACCTAGGCATGTGCCCTGACTGGGAATCGAACCTGCGACACTTTGGTTCGCAGCCCGTGCTCAATCCACTGAGCTACGCCAGCCAGGGAGTTACAGAATTTTACGTTCCATTTAGTGTCCTGCCCAGGAGCTCCAGAGTTCTAGTAGACATGGAAGTGTAGAGTAGACTCTGTCTCCAGTCCACCAGCCTGATTAAGTCCATGGTTCCCGAAGGAGTCTGCACATTGAGAACGATGAGGAGCTCCAGGAGCGTAGCTATCTACACCCTGTCCTGAAAGTCAGGGGTTTAAATCCCTGGGCTGGGGCCTGGGGAGTCACATTTTTTAAAGTTCCCTATGTGATTCTAACAGGCAAACAAGTTTGAGAAACATGACTTTAAAAATTTCTGTGAGACTGAGGACAGATTTCTGTTGTTTGTGTTTATGTTTATGCCAGCCTGTGCCAGATGAATGTAGTTTTGTAAAGATGATAGGGTTTAATAAGGATGAGTAATGTTTTTTGAGTCTTTAAATGAAGTTAGTAGAAATTTTTAAAACAAAGGCAGGTTGCTAACATTATCCTGATTTTGAACACCGTAATAAAATGCATATAATATGCTAGTCTAACTGCAGTTTTATTTTTAAGAAAATTAAATTTTTAAAGCCAATTTTAAGCTAATCTCTTAAATATGCTGAAACTTTGTATTATAGTCAAGTAAGACTTTTAGAGAATTTTTATTAGTTTATCCAGTTATTAAGTGTTTATTTATTTTTCTCTTCTCTCTCTTTCTCTCTCCCTGTCTCTCTCATTCCTGCTTCTAGTAAGGGTTACACTGATGTTGTGAGGATCCCAGAAGGGGCAACCCACATAAAAGTCCGACAGTTCAAAGCCAAAGACCAGACTAGATTCACTGCCTACTTAGCCTTGAAGAAGAAAAACGGTGAGTACCTTATCAATGGAAAGTACATGATCTCCACTTCGGAAACAATCATTGACATCAATGGAACAGTCATGAACTACAGCGGCTGGAGCCACAGAGATGACTTCCTGCATGGGATGGGCTACTCCGCCACAAAGGAAATTCTAATCGTGCAGATCCTTGCTACAGACCCAACTAAAGCACTAGATGTCCGTTACAGTTTTTTTGTTCCCAAGAAGTCCACTCAAAAAGCAAACTCAGTCACCAGCCATGGCAGCAATAAAGTGGGATCACACACAACACAACTGCAGTGGGTGACGGGCCCGTGGCTGGCCTGCTCCAGGTCCTGTGACACAGGCTGGCACACCCGGACGGTGCAGTGCCAGGATGGAAACCGGAAGTTAGCCAAGGGATGTCTTCTCTCTCAGAGGCCTTCTGCCTTTAAGCAATGTTTGCTAAAGAAATGTTAGCCTGTGGTTATGCTCTGATGCAGAGATAACTGGATGATTGATCGCTGATCAGTCGTGCTGAACGGGAGGCCCACCTACAGCACAGAAAGTCACCCTTCAGTGTCATTGTCAACAGGAGTCCAATTATGGGCAGAATCTGCTCTCCAAGACCAAATGAAGAAGTGCACTATTCCATGTGACAGTGGCGACCCTGGAATATAGAAGAACTTGGGAGTTTGCAAACATCCCCTGGGCCTACGAGAATGGAAAACACTGATGAATGTAGAATCAGGCGACATTTGACAACAGAAGAACAACCGTCTCCCTCTTGTCACCTACCTCTTACAGAATGTCTTCAAAGGCATTGTAACCATTTTCACCCACAATACACAGTAGCTTCTTTTTACTGTTTGTAAATACATTCTCCCTTGGTATGTCACTTTATATCACTTGGTTCTATTAAAAATATCTATGTGTATATAAATATATATATTTCTATAAAAAAAAAGTGTTTGACCAAAGTAGGTCTGCAGCTATTCCAACTCCTTCCAGTTTCTGGAAAGAGCTGTGGATGTTTTACTGGAAATTAAGATCTTGCTGCTGTTATTAATAACACTTAGTAAACTTTCAGACAACAGGAGATAAAATTTTAGTCAAAAACTATTTTGACAGCAAGCATCTTCTGAGAAGTTTTGAAAAGGAAAAGGATCTCAGTGTATCTCGACATTTAAATACATACACGGGTCTGTAGCATTTGACAGCCTGCATTTTTTCAGGCAGCCAGCCAAATTAATGCATAACTAGGTCGTAGAATTAGTGTTTGCGTGTGTGTGCATTGTTGGTGTTCAAAAGTCTAACAATTACTTTCCTTGTGTTGAAATTTAAAAGGAAAAAAAAACATACTTAACTGCATTTTCCATTTCTGTTTTCATGGTTGCTTTCCCATTCTATGACTGTCATCTGATATCTCACAATGTGTAATACACACAGCAAAGAGTTTTCCAATCACGTTCAACACTCTAAATACTGGTACACCTCTTACCAGCAAGCCTTTAAAATGTGTTTGTTTTCGCTTGTTTGTTTGCTTTGTTAAAGGGTTCTATAAGACCTACAAGGTTTTCTACTTCTTGTTGACTTAGTGTAATGGGAGTATTAGAGACCATTTGGTAGTTAGCCACTTCTAGAAGTGATTATTGTTAATGTGGTTAGTGCAAAAAAAAAAGGTTATTCATAAGACTGTTTCCACACCATACAGGCAATAATTCCTTGCGTTAAAAAACTATCCAAGTACACTGATAGTGCACTTAAGATTTTTCCCAAGTAGAAAGCATTTGGTTGTACCAGTAAGTGTTTGAGTGATGAAATATGATGATTTTTGAGAAGTTTGTTACCTTTATTTCCATAGTCTGTCTAAGTAGGTTGTAAGTTTGAATAGTTAGGCATAGAAAATTTGTGCCATAATATGCCTAAAAATCTCTTTTTAGACAGTAAACTGTATGCCTTCACCCCACAGTTCAGAAAATATAAGGTGTTTTGTTTCATTGGGATTTCTTTTCCTTTGTGAAACATCACAAAGCTAATTGTTTTTATAAAATTGTATAATAATCATACCAAATGTGCCTATTGTAAAGATTTGCATATAAGAATGTTAGGGGACCATTGTTTGAGTTCCCTTAAGCTCATGAGAGTTTATTTTTATTATGAGATATTTTTAATATAAAAGAACTATGTAATTCATCTTGCTATATCACATTCATTTCAGTGGGCCAGGAGAATGGATGTCTCACTGTTTTAAGTATTTTCTTAAGAAATTATTTGGTAAAACAAACAATTATTTTACGAAACTGATAATCATCTTTTGGATTTTTATACACTGACTTCGCTGGAGAGGTGGTCATTTTTCTCTCAATAAATTATCAGTTAGAAAAACGAAGTCTGTACAAGACTGGTAACCTACTCTTGATGGAGGAGAACCAGGTATCAGGGCTGGGGACAGAGCTATTCAAATTGGTCAAGAAAAAATTAAATTTACAACTGATAATTTGACTATGCAGAGAAAATTATTAGAGAGGCCAACATTATCTTTTCCAATTTTCAAAATAATTTAATCAAGTAATCCAATTATGACCGAGTTTTATTTTATCTTTTGTGGATATATTGAAGGCAACATTAAAAAATAATTAAAGAGCAAACATGATGGTCTCCTATTCTGCTTCTCTATGCTTGATTCATAGATTTTTAATATGATTTATCAATGATTCATTTCCCCCCAAATAATGAAGTTTTACCCTTTGCATTGGAACAATCCTAGAGAGCTTATAATGAATAAACCACTATTCCATGCTTTTAAAGAATTTTCTTTAATTTTTTGGTGTTTTCTATTTTTGTATGAGTATCAATAGATTGACCAAGGAATGTATGTCTAAACTCCTGAGAAAAGTGATATAGACTGGAAACTGAAATTCAGAGAAACTGATGTAAATATAAAGAATGATAAGCAAAGGAAAAATCCTCTATAACAAAAATGTAATTCAGTCCAGCTTGATTTTGGACTATTCCTTCTACCTTTACGTAGTTGCACCTTGAATAAAAAGTCTAGGATTCATGCTCAGGTTAGTAAGAAATTAACCTCACAAAACTAAACACTCCAGGTTAAGTTTAATTAAATACAATGGAAGCCCCCCAAAATAGCACTTACTTCTTCTAGAAGAGAAAAGATCAAAGAAATTAAGTTCTGCTTTGTTGTTTAGGGATTTAGGGGCATTGTTGTAATTTATTCAACAAATTCAACTTATTTTGCCTTCCTGTGGAAACAGTTTTATTTCATTAAACTAAGAATTAAGGGATTAATCACAAACAAAAAGTTGCAGCACTGAAAAAAATAATTTATTGTCTTTTGCAACTGGTATGTGAACTTGTGTGATAAAGCTATTTATTCTTATTTAACAAAAATATGTGCAAATTCTATATTTAAAATGTTTTGCTGTTGTCCTACCTTTTAATTTATGCTTCATGTTTGTGGATAAAGTACACTTTGTGAGTTTACATGATATATAGCACTGTTTGCTTTTGTATTTTTTTACAAAAAGCTTTCTGTGTGAAACAGGCATATATGTATATATTCCTCATGTATCCTTGTTCTGATACTGTAGTTTTCCTTTCTGAGGAAGCGTTTAACTTAATCTATCATGACTATTAGTACCCATTAATCCTAATTTTTTCAAGCCGCAGATAAGAAAAGCACTTATTCAAACAACTGTGGTCCAAGTCTTAAACCTGGGCACGCAGAGAGCCTGGCAGGCCGTTGAAGCTCAGGCACAGTTGAGAATCAGGTCTATTCCTTGCCCTGATACACTTGGACAAAGAGCTGTTGATGGAGTATGTGAAAACTGCAAGTGATATCAATTATAATAAAACCAAATATTGTCTTTGGCTGCTTTAGAAACACTCCTTGAAAATTAATTCCCCTTAGTCTCTAGTATCTGCAGGGTTCTGTAGATGAAAGCAAACAAATTGGGTGTCAGTGATTCCAGTGTCAGTGGTCATAACTGTTTCTATGAACATGGGGTCTCCACTGATGAAGGGTGACTTCTTACTTCTACCAGTGTCTCTCATGGGGGGATAATAGGACCTGAGATAGGGAGGGACCCCTCTGATCACATTAGCCTGCCCCTGACTATGATTTCACCATCCGGTCACAGCAATAAGGCAAAGCACCCTTGGACACACAGCTGACCAGATTAACTTCTGACTCTAATGTTTCTCCCATAGACTCCTTCCTTATTATCAAGGTCATTGTCATGGTTTCTATGAGGACAACAGCCAAATTCAGAGAAGCCCAGGACTTGTGCTATGACTTAGAGTTCACCATTTGTGAAACAAGATTGAATGTAACAATGACCAAACTTGACTCATCATTCATGGCTGAGGGTGAAATCTCATTGGCTTGATTGGTATATATTACCATTTATAATTAAACTTGAGACCACAAAAACACCTTACATTTTTCAACATTTCAAAGCTACAAAATAAATGAATACAGAAGATGAACACAGAAGATGAGTACAGAAATGGTCACCCAACGCTGTAATAGAACCGAGTGCAGTGTCAGGAGATCTATCGTTTAGATGCACCAAAGACGAACTTGGATGTTTTCTCTATTATTTTTCTCATTTGCCAAAACCTGTAGCTTTAGACTCTCTAACAGGTAGATTAACCTAACTCACTAGTTCACTGAGGGGAAAAAAAAAAGCAATCTTCCTAATAGCTGTCTGCTAGCAGGAACTACAGAAATGACTGCTCAAGTTAAATATCGTCATGAAACACATCCATCTATAATGCATAATTGTGTTCTGGTCAATGAACATATAGAAACATATTAAACCCATGCATCAGTGAAAGAAAAACCGGAAATAGACATACGTCCAGTCCAGAAAAGCATTTAATCTGGCAAATGTCCTTCTAGTGCCATGATACCCTAACTCTCGATGAAGATGTTGTGGAAAAAAATAGTGGAATATGTTGTTAGAAGATGCTGGTTTTAAGAGAGAATAGGAGTACATGTTAGCTAACCGAGTTAAATGCACAGTCCTAATAGTCTAGCACTTTGTTCTTATTCTCGCAATAAGTCTGCTTCCCGTGGTCCTTGTCCCAAAGCTCCAACTGGCCCATGTGGGCCACCGTAGGTGAAATGAAAAAGCAAATAATGGTCCATCATCCTATAAGGCACTGTCACAGAGTGATCCAGGTCCAACACTGTGAAAAAAAACTGTGATTTATAAATGACACGGCATTCTCTCTTTTTTTTTCCATTTTCCTTTGGCACATCCGATGAACAATTATACTTTTTAATTGAGGTGCTAATGTCTTCGGTGATCAATAGTCAAACGTAGCATTTCTGCTGAGTTACTATTTTGTTCTATGTGATTTTTCCATTTTCAAGAACTAAGTTTGGTTTTGTTTTGGTTTTTGGTTTGGGTTTTCTTTTCCTGGTTTTGTTTTTTTGTCAAGGGTGGGCACAACTCGATACTCAAAGTTCGGGAGATGGCATCTAACGGTCATTCCACTTGGCAGGGTTCGGCGACACACGACACGTACGCCCCCTATGAGGATGTTCCAGGTGCCGTCAGCACTCGGAGAGAGTCAGGCTGGGGCCGCAGACTTTCAGACGCGTCACGTCGCGTCACTTGCTCAGACATCGGCATTCTCGTCAAACATTCCTTTTAAACAATCCAGTTTGCTTCTTAGACGCACACAAACTCCTGTTTATATTTTGCCTGACTTTGTTGAAGCTTTGCAACATTTTATGTCCATAGTAAACACTGGGCAAGCATAGCTCAGTCCCCGCTTTAACAGTTTACAACATCCTCGAACCACGTCACCCCACACTGAGAGCGTATTGAGAATAGTGCTATGTTGACTCGGTGAGGCTAGACTTCTGATTAGGAAACAGCTATTGTCTCTGGGTGATGTTTTTGCATTGTACACTCGGGCATGATGTAAATGTAGGAGTTGGCAGAGGCTGCTCACATTTGAGTATCACATATTTGTCAGAGAAGATCATGCACGTTTCGTAAGTAGACTTCAGACAACTAAGCAGATGGCAGAACTATGTTCGATTTGATGGGAGCAGTGACACTGCCATTTGATCTCTGCATTAGAGTCTGTGAGTAAATTCAGGTCATAGATCTATGCAGGTAGAACCGAGATTTTTAAATCTTGAATGGTGCTTTCGAGACATAGTAAAACTTTGAAGATTTGCATATTATATATAAGTAGTAAAACGCAAGCTGCTCATTACTCCAGATTTTCAGAAGTGATGGCATCGTTCAGTAAATGCAAACCAGTTGAAGAACCGAAACTTTTTGGAAAACTAAAATGGGTCTCATTGAAAATGTCTCCTCAGCTTTGGCGAATTTCACACTGAAATCCACTACTGAAAGCATTACTGTGTCTTATAGCCTGCATTCCAGCACAGCTCTGTTATTCAGGTAAATCACTTGAACTGAGTCGTTTGGGGCCTGTACTGTAATATTTTTCATGGAGGAACAATATCCTACTTTGTAAAGCATTTCCCTATGTGTGATTTCAAACTGTAAAATTAAACATTGGCTTTGTGGTTTCAGTGAGCATAATAAATGTAAACTGTAAACTAGGTTAAAGTATGTACTGCACATAATGTTTTAGAGTTGGAAACTATTGTCCATTTAATTTATATATTCTCATGACAGCCGTAGAACCCAGCCAGGTCTTAAGGAAACTTTAGGCTCTATAATTTCTACCATCCCTCCTTCACTGTGGCACAGACAAGTAATATTTTCTCTGTCTTAAAGGACTATGGAACTATTGCTTCAAATCTTCTTACCACCCCCTAAGTCTGTCTAGTATCCAAATTTTGGTATTGAATTAGATAGAGCAAGCAATATAATCTACCTGGTTCATCTATTTTTTTTAAGATAAATTCTTACTCATTGTAAAGCTTAAGAGTCTCAAGGGTTATGCATACATGGAAATTCAAAAACAATTGACACTCACGAGCAAAAGCCTATTTTTTGCTAACACGATTATGGCATTACGGTTCCTAAGGATACCAATTCCTTCTAAACCCGAAATCAACACTGTTTAGCATGCATTGCAAACACTGAATTTATCATATTCTCTCATATCAAATAACATTTCGGAATTGTGAACTTTATTTTTTCTTTTAGTAGGATGTTTATTTTTTAAGAAATAATTTGCAACACCTATATTTTTAAAAACACCATACACAAACGGCATCCTAAGGGGCTAAGAGTTGTTGAACATGTCTTTGGCCCGGGCACTGTGCTAAATGCCTTACCGACTTTCTCCCACGTGTTCCTCTCCCTGGCCCTCTTGACCTTGGTCTTAGATTCCAATATTACGGATGACCATCACATCAGAATAACTGTTCACAGTCGTCTAGCTGTTGCCAAGTGCCCAGCACTGTTATAAGCACTTTGAATATTTACTTTCAGTTAACGGCATTTTAAAACATTGAGCGTCTCCAATCCTTGCAGACTGTGAGTCTGATACAGGGATTTTAAGGGTAGGGGGAAGACTATGTGAGTTTGGAGAACCGAGGGGAAGTGTTCAGATGCCCTGACGTGTGTAAAAGCAAAGTGGTCCTCAAATTCCAATAAAAACGTCAAGGAAACTCTGGAGAATCGGGCAAGCAGCAGGACTAGAGGCAAGAGCTCAGGGTGTACAAAGGACTGTTGTTTAAGGAGAGAGAATTTGATTTAGAAAACTAGTAAATTGCTCGGAAGGATTAAAAAAAAAACTATGGTATTTAACCTTACAAACTCATTCGCAGCTAATAATGAGCTGGTTCAGACAAGGTCAAAGGCATAAAAATGTTCCGGGGGGTAGATTTTAGATTAGGAGTAGAATGAACAAAGAAGTTTAGAAAGAGAGCTATAGATGTTTCAAAAGTCAGAACTGTCTTTAATTCCTAGATTCTGTAGGGTATTCCTTGATTATTGTCTTATCTGTTCAGTTCAACTCACATTTTTGCACAGAACAAAAGATGATAGGTTTTAACGTAGACACGAACAAAGGGGTGTGGCTCTGCTTTCCTCAGTTTCCCTCCATGGCCGGTTCATGGTTAATAGAATCCCATCCCAGAAGGATTAATCCTCTGGGGCCGTTCCCAGGGATGGAAGGAGATAAAAAGAAGGCCAGGACCTCACTGTAACAGGAAGTCATAATACATATGTGCCGTGATCTAGATTTCTCTTTCCACTTCTAGATGCCTACAGCATTTTCTCTTTCTGTTTCAACTTTCGTTGGAGTTTGACTGGAATTGTAGTTGCAGACCTTTTGTTATTGTTGCTATTTGTTATTAAAAGCATCTAAATATCAGAGAGCAGGAAAGCATCTTTCTTAACTGCTAGTAAGTAGACTCCACACAACAGTGGCTGAACTAGTTTGAAGTTAAAAAAATTATTTTTCTACAAGAGTGTTGGGAACCATTAACTGATTCATGTTCCAAGGAAGTGTAGTGCGTACTAGACGCTGTAGAGAATGTATCCAGCTTGTTCCTTTACTCTCCAGCCCCTTTGCTATCATTTTGCCAAAACAACAAAGATGTTTTCTCTTGCTCCTTGCATCTCAGTTGCATTATGGGCAGTTTTGAGATGAGAGCTCAGAGGTAAGAACTGGATGAGACACAGAAGACAGAGCCTGTGTAAGCGAAGAAGTGGTTGGAGCCGTGGCCCACTCACTGCAGGTGTGCGGGACGGAACAGCCGCTTCCCAGCTCTCCCACTACCTCCACTCTCCAAGCCACCAACCCCTCCACTTTGGACGAGAGGTGCCTCCAAATAGGGCCTCCTGTTTCCTTCAGCAGCCAGACTGATCGGTAAAATGCCAGCTCATTTAACATCTTTGCAAAAATGTATCTAATGTCTTCCCATCTTAGA